CTTGAAGATAGGTGATAGACATTGAGGGACATTCATTTACCTCGCTGCTTTGTGATTTGTAAATAAACCTAAAGCAAAGGAAGTCATTTGAGTGCTCTGGCAGCTCTTCTTCCTTACCCGCCTCCCTCCTGCTCTCCTTAGTTTTGTTTTTTGAGATGGGGTCTTGAACCTATAGAGTAAGAAATGTTGGCCTCAGACTCACTGTGTAATCTAGTAGTCAGAAACTCATTCCTTGCTCAGCTTCCTGCATTCTGGGCCTGCAGGTGTGCACCTCCACACCACAAGGCATCTCCTGTAGATCAATAGCACCTACACTAAAGGTAAATGGAGTATTAAAAACGTAAGGCACCCTTGGTAACAGATGGCTCTGTATGTGTGGAGGGAAAGAAGTGAATGGTAAGGACACCATTCAGGTCTCAGCTTCTTTCCTCCCTGTCACCATCACCTCTCACCCCTAGCCGGGAACAGAAAGTTGTTAAAGCCCCCTTCTTCGTTATTTTTAAATTTGACTGCTCTAAGGACTGATTAAACTAGGTTTTCTAAGTGAGCAGTTCCTTAACCTTGACTTAGTAAAACATTAAACTATTCATGGCATCTGCTACTGCCCCGTTCTGCAGTGTGGGAGCTAATCCAGCGGTTTCTCGTCAAATGCCGGTGTTGTGCAATTGTAGAATTACACCAGGCCCGGAGGAGGAGAGCTAGGGAGCAAGAGCCACATCAGGGGCATGGTAGACAGAAACACCCTTTCAGGACAAAACTCCAGTGAGTGCTAAGACCCACCCGCACCTCCCAGGATGGTTTGTATGTATCCTTGGCCGGCCCTGAAGTGGTAATCCTCCTGTCTCAGTCTCTTGAGTGTTAGGAACACAGACAAATGCTATCAAAAGTCAGCTGATACTCCTTTTGTTGTCGTTTTGAGATATGATCTTACTGTGTGCGGCTCTGGCTGTCTTGGAACTTACTAGGTAGACCAGGCTGGCCTTGAACTCACAGATGTCCGCCAGCCTCTGCCTTCCAAGTGCTGGGATTAAAGATGTGCGCCACTATGCCTGGCTTTATATATTCGGTTTTAAGCCTACTTTTCCCCCTTTGTTTAGATTGGTGAATTTTATTCTTTTACTTTATAGGTTCTTTCCTCTGGGCCATCCGTTTGACTTTCTAGGCTATAGTTACAGCTTTCTGTTACTAGGTGAAATATTGGAGAGAACTTCTGAAGAGAAAAGTTTTGGTTTGGTGGTTTTGAGTTTATGGTGTTGAGGTTACAGCTTTGGGCCTCTGGTGCAGCAGTTGGATGGCAGTGGCTAGAAGTCTACGGCAGAACAAATTGCTGATTTTGGTCTTGAAGCAACAGAGAAGAGGAAGCTATTGAGGTCCCATTATGGTTTTTTTTTTGTTGTTGTTGTTTGTTTTTGTTTTCTTTCTTTCTTTTTTTTTTTTTTTCTGAGACAGAGTTTCTCTGCATAGCTCTGGCTATCCTGGAACTTGCTCTGTAGACCTGAGTACTGGGATTAAAGTCGTGTGTCACCCCTGCCCACTGAGGTTCCATAATCTTGTCAATGGCATGCCTACAGTGACATAAAACTCCTACTGGTCCCCACTTTCTAGGCCTCTGTAGTGCCTTCCATGTGGGCCATGGGGCCAGGCCTTCCACAGTGGACCTTTGGGGACACTGATAACAAAGTCACAGCAGAGTCTGTCTGCTGAGCCTCTTATTTTGGTTACTATAACTTAGTCTAAGATAACTAGTGGTTCTTTGTGTCTCCTTTAGACTATTTTGCTGAGGCTTGCTAGTTTTTCATTTGTTTCCAGGTATTGATACTTGTTGGTTGAAACATTTTTATCATGGCTTCTAAGTATTTTGTCATGTAATTTTCTATCTCTGTCATCTTGCTATTGGCATCTGTCGGTTGCCTTTCAAAAATTCAGGGTGGAGTTTCTCAGTGGAACCCCAGGCATTTCATTGTAAAGTCCTGGGTCTGCTTGACTCTTCTCGTAAATCCTGAGCTCAGTGAGAGGAGGGGGAGCACTTATAGGCACAGGGAGTCTAGGAGCCCCACTGTGACGCTAGGGACAGCCACAGCGTGGAGCCTTAGAACTGAGAACTGGCCAAGAAGCAAGTGCCTTCTCCACCTTCCCACCGCTGCTTCCCAGTATGACCTACCTGCACTCCCTTTTCCTGTGGATCTCTGCGGTTCCTGTAATGAAGTCAGGGTTCCTGCACTGACCCTGGATTCTCTGAGATTGCAGTCCTGCACTGTGAGGCTGGTTTTGAATGCTTTCCTTGGGCTATTTTATTTTACTATTTCTTACTAGTCTGTGTGTGCTCTTGTCACAGCACACATATGGAGGACAGTGGGCAAATTTGTGGAGTAGGGTCTCTTTTTCCACCATTATGTGGGTTTTGGGGATCAAACTTAGGTCATCATCAGCTGTGTGATTTACCTGGTGAGCCACCTCGCCGGTCCATTCCTTTGGTTCTTTAAAAAAACAATTGTACGTTTTTATTTTAGGTGTATGAGTGTTGGTCTGCATATATGGTTGTGCCTGGTGCTCATGGAGGCTGGAAGAGGGCTTTAGGTGGAGTTATACACAGTTGTGAGACACCATGTGGGTACTGGGAATCGAACCTGGGTCCTCTGGAAGAGCAGTCAGTGCTCTTAATGACTGAGCCATCTCTCCAGCCCCTTCTTAGATTATTTTAAAACACAATATAGCTAAAAAACAGACCTGCTTTAGAAAGTAAATTTTTACACAGTTTGCAGTGTTAGGACTTACTTTCTGATTCATTCTGACTACAAATTCTGTATATATTTTGTTATTAATAAAAATTAGTATTTTTTAAAATTGAAGTTCACTATCCTATGAGTTCTGATTACAGTGGTGTCTGAGATTCTCTTTATATGGATGTCCCTTGTTTCTTTTTTCAAGTTCTTTGTGACTTCTGTTACTTAATTGAGGAAGCTTTGGCATTGGCTCTGGACCCCAGGGCCTTGTAAGCACTGTATCAGTGAACTGACCCCCAACTGCTCAGTACCCAGTGCTAGTTAGGGAATTCAGTAACTTTTTACTGATGTTCTGAATGTTTCAGCATTACTTTAGGAAAACTGTACCCTCTCCAACCCAGAATGTGTATCATCAATGATTATAGTTTGTATTAGAAAGTGACAGAGGCATTGTCTATGGAGGGACAGAAATGGAATAGAAAGTATTTTTTTGTAGACTTAATTTCTTTAAGACATGTTGTGAGTTCAAATGCACCCCCCACCCCACCCCCAGGGTTTCTTTTTGTAGCCCTAGCTGTCCTGGAACTAGCTTTGTAGACTAGGCTATCCTCAACTCAAAAGATCTGCCTGCCTCTTTTTTGCTTTGGTAAGTCTAAACCCCAAAAGGACTCATTCAAATGAACCGGGATGAAAAAGTAATGCTCTTGGCCACACTATGCAGGATTAGTGGAAGTGATTAGAATGTTTCTATCCAGAGTCATTGTAGCTCAGGAGCTCAGGCTAGCCTCCAACTTGTTATGTAGTAGAGGATAACTTTGAACTCCTGACCTTCCTGCCTCTATCTCTCAAGTGCTGGGATTATAGGATATGCTATCATACCACCCCCACCCCCGGTCTCCCTTTTAATCTTGGAGCATACCTAATAAAAATTAAAGAGTTGTTTGGCTTGGACTTGGGAAAATTCTACCTTGTTCATCATTGCCTCAGTGAAGTTAACTGTTCATTCAATAACTAGGATTAGGAAAAGCTTATACAAGTGCCTCATTATTTTCCTGCTCCACGAATAGCGTGGGATATTTAGAGTGGATTCTTTTTTTACTGGGAGATGATTGGCAGTTATTTAACTCTTTGGAGACAGACATTTATAAATTTCCTGGTTTTATGTTGCCTTATACATCGTACTGTTGCTGGGTCTTTAATCCCAGAACTTGGGAGACTAGGGCAGGTAGATCCCTGTGAGTTTGAGGCCAGCCTGGTCTTTGAAGTGAGTTCTAGGACAGCCAGGAATACACAGAGAAACCCTATCCCCCCAGCTCTCTCCCCTCCTCCCCCACCGAAAAAAAAGAATACTGTCCGACCCATGGCAGCCTTTGTCTTTGCCTGGGTCAGGAACGTATGTATCCTTGGGCATGGTGCACAGTTCAGCATAGCAGCCTGGATTAGTGAACTTTCTGTTGCTGTGATAAAACACTGTGACCAAAGCACCTTAGAGAAGGAGGGGTTATTTTGGGCTACAGGGGTCTAGAGGAATAAGAGTGAGTCCATCACCATCACAGTGGGAAGCATGGCAGCAGGCTCCATGCTTGCAGGCCGTGGGCACCATGCTTCCAGGCAGTGGGCTCCATGCTTCCAGGCTGCGGGCTTGGCTGCTGGAGCAGCAGCTGAGAGCTCACATCTCAAACCACAGATAGGAAACAGAACAAATTGGGAATGGCTTATGGCTTTTGAAACTTCAAAGCCCATACCCAGTGACATACTTCCTCCACCAAAGCCACACCTCTTGATCATACCCAAACAGTGCCACAAACTGGGGACCAAGTATTCAAAGACAGAAAAATATAAGGGACATTTCAGTCAAACCATCACACAGCTATTAGCCAAATGTGACTTTGTTTTTTGGTTTTTCAAGACAGAGTTTCTCTCTGTAGCCCTGGCTGTCCTGGAACTCACTCTGTAGACTAGGCTGGCCTTGAACTCAGTACAAATGAGACTTCTAAGATAAGTAAAATGAGATCTTCATTACATTGGGACTATCCTGATTTTAAGTAGTCATTAGCCAGATGTTGCTGCTGGCTGCCACACTGGAAAGTGGTAATGCAGTCTCCTTGTAGTACAAAGCATGTGGGGCAATGCTCTACTGGACTGGTCATTTCTAAGAAGAAACTGAGGCAAATGAAAGACCAAAACAATAAGACCCGCATTTCACCCTCCTTGCCGCTCTTAGTGTTTCCGGGTGGAATTCATAGGAAGCTCTGCACGAGTGTCCTTGTTTGTGATCTTGTTTTTAAATGTTTGATTCTCTTTCCAGGCTGGCAGTGACGGGGAAAGCATAGGAAACTGCCCCTTTTCACAGAGACTCTTCATGATTCTGTGGCTCAAAGGAGTTGTGTTTAGTGTCACAACCGTTGACCTGAAAAGGTAAGACATGGCTGTGGTGTGGCTTGCAAGTTTGTAGTTTATCTGTAGCTTGGATCCTTTTCTTGTCCTTTGCTTTGATTGCACATGAAGGAAACACATGTTATTCAGGTTTTCTGTTTAAGGCTAGATTTAATAAACGAGTGGGGGTGATAGTGTACGCCTTTAACCCCATGGAGGCAGAGGCAGGCCAGCCTCGTCTACAGAATGAGTTCTAGAACAGCCCGGGCTACACAAAGAACCCTGTCCTGAAAAAACCAAAACCAAGAAAGAACGACCTTTCCAAATGGTAGTATTTCCTCCATCGGTGCATCCGCCCCCCTGGCTGTGCAGTCTGGGTTTTCCGTGGACCCTGTCAACCTTAAATCTCCTGAGCAGCACCTGAAGCTTTAACGTGGATGCGGCGCAGTCTTGAGTTTCTCAGTGTGAACATGAGCTACAAAGAGCTTTGCTTTCTGGCTGACATCTTCCTGATCTCAAGTGTGCTAAAATGTGAACAATAGCATTTGGATCCTGAGGGAGAGCCGAAGTGGGGACATAGTTTAGTGGTAGAGCACTTGTCCAGCTGGTGCCACAAAGACTGGGGACAGTCATGATGTGAGGTGGGCGAAGCCAAGAACAGGAGCTTTAGAAAGCTGAGTAATGTGTGGTCTGTTCATTTAACCTATTTTTCAGGGGATAATGTATTTTCTGTGATATGTAAATGATGTCTGGTATAAAATAAGAGTAGTCTTGCTAGGTTTCTCTCCGTAGGCCAGAATATGGGAGGCTAAGAAGAGTTCTGACAAGTAGGAAGCTTTTTTTTTTTTTTTTTTTTTAATCCAAGAACTTTTATTTTTCCTTAGCAAATGTGTCTGAAGAACATTTACATTCCCACAGTCCCCAAAGACAGATCCTCAATAGCTCTCCGGACAGTCAGCCTAGCCAAAATGGTGAACTCCAGGTTCAATAAGAGCCTGTTCTTGGGGCTGGAGAGTTGGCTCCAAAGCGCTGGCTGTTCTATTGGAGGACCTACTGGAGGACCTAGCTTCAGTTCTCAGCATCTACATGGCAGCTTACCACTGTCTGTAACTCCAGTTTCAGGTGATCAGACACCCTCTTCTGGCCTCTGGAGAGCACCAGACACACAAGTGGTACACAGATATACATGAAGGCAACACACACACACACCAAAATTAAAATAAAAAAATATTTGTACCAATGGAAAATCTAGGTTCTGGCAGTGAAATGTATTCAGTTTTTTGATGGTGTATGTTGAACCCAGGGCCTTGTGTGTGCTATGTTAACTATCCCATAGCCCCACATAATGCTCCTGACATAGAGTCATAAATGCCACAGTCTTGTTTGCCAGTTACCTTTAAGCATTTCCGGTTAAGAGTGCCTAGGGAAGACTGGTCAGGCTGCTGTTTGACGGCCGAACTGATGGTTGTTTATCCTGAAATGTCACAGAGCTCTGCCCAGTTAGGTTAGCATCCCGTGGGCTCTGCCATGCCTCATCATTTATTTTTTACTTCTTTGGAACAGTTTTTGAAATTTTGAAGATTTAAAAGTGTATTTGTGAACTGGGTGGGTGACTCTTCTCTGGGAGGCAGAGATAGGATTGTTGTGCATTCAAAATTGACCTGAGCTATAGAGTGAGAGAGACTTTGTTTCAAAAAGGGAAGAAAGTATATTTGTTGAAACTAACCAGTCTTTCAGGAACCCCTCGGAGATAGTTTATTAATGTAGAAAATAAGCCTTTGATGCCAGCTAGTAAGAGTTAAAATGACTGTAGGCTCCTGAGAAGGCATGGATCCGTTCATGTTGGGCAGAGCTAGTTTAAGAATGAAAGAAGTCATGCAGTAGCCCTGCTATTACTTTTATTTTCCTACATGTATTCACAAAGGAAGTTCTCAGTATAACTTCTAAAAATAGACCAGACACCAGACACACACCCTTCCTATGTCCTAAACTACGGGTGCTCCCCGATTCCAGTTTTGGCTTGGAAGAGATGAGCTGACAGCCATGCTTTGAAAAGCTTTCTTTGACTGACTGAGTACAGTGCCTGATTGTCTGAAGACCAGGAATACTGAATCTGGTGGGGAAGTGAAGGAGTGCATCAGGGCCTACTTCTCACTTACAGACTCTGTAAGGCATTATTGCTGCAGGTTGATTGATATGAGGGCTGGTAGATTTGAGAGTATTGTACTCCATATACAAAAAGTGACACATAGGAAATAGGTATTTGGGGTCTTATAGCCAGAAAATACCAAGGATGTGCATTTTTCTAGGGTTATGCATCAGATCAAGAGCAGAGAACACCTGAAGTGAAGGTCTAGTACATCTAAAACATATTTCCCTCCTAGAGACAGGATTTGCAATATTCCTCCTGCCCTCCCATTGCCAAGTGGAGGTATTGCAGGTGTTTGATATCACACTCAGCTTAAACGTTGAGGAGGGTAACATGAAGGTTCACAAGGCCATGATGACTCCCTCCTCCCGCTCCAGCCAGGTCATCAGTGTTCTTTCATGGAGATCGTTGCTTTTAGGCAAAGTTTGTGATATTTATCCGTTCAGATCTTTCCTACGAGCTTATAGAGTTTTGAACATTCTTAAAAAGAAAGTAACCCAAGAGAATGAACATGGGCTCAGAAACAACATATAATAAAGTTGTCACAAAGAGTGAAATACTTCGTGCTATGAAGTACCTTCCATAATATATACTTAGTTTTAAAGCTTTGTAACTCTTTTTAGAAATCTGTGGGGGAGAAAATACCCGCTGAGCTCATTTTCCTGCAGATCTTAGAAATTGCCCACTTCCACAGTGAAAGTACTGATCCCAGAGCATGCCAGTGCAGAGTGACGGCCCCCTGAGAGCTACTGAGAAGCCCACTCGCTCTCGGAAGCAGTGATTGTTAGCTTTCATGCACAGGAACAGGCGGGTCTGGCTCTGGCACAGTGGCGTGTGTTCTGAGTCTCAGTTGGTGTTAATGACTGTGCTGGCATATGTTCGCCTTCCAACACCGCCATTGCCTGCTCTCAGTGCAGCCTTAATGCTTTAGTGGGAGTTGTTTCCAAGCCCGTTTCTCTGTTCGTGATGAAGTTGTGTTAAAGGCATTTTAGATAAAATGGCACCCAGGCTACAGAAAGAATCTATTTCAGCAATTGCTATTTGAACAAAAGCTGCAGATGAGCATACATTAGAACCGGGAGTCCAGCAGCAGACACGATCACATAGCATCATGGGGAGGAAGAAGCAGGGTGGCTTGGGAGAAAGGAGTGAGGCCTGGCTCTGCACCGAGAGCCCTGAGAGGAGTTCCTGAGTCCGAGGGCACGCAGCCTCATCTTCTTGGGGTCAGTTACTCGTTCAAGTTAGGACAGAGGGAAGGTTATCCTTCAGTATCAGCTGTGTGATGGGCAGTGTTCAAGGTACTTTTGACTATTTTCAGACCATTTTGGCATCTTTTTTGAGACAGGGTTTCTCTCTATGTAGCCCTGGTTTTCCTAGATAGAACTCCCTTTGTAGACCAGGCTGGCCTCGAACTCAGACCTGCCTCTGCCTCCTAAGTGCTGGGATTAAAGGCCCGTGCTCCCGCCAGCAGCTGGTTTTGACCTCTAAATGAATAGAGTTTATTGGTTTACAGGGCTTGTGTTGGCTGACAGGCACATGGCAGTAACCAGGGTTTTAATTTGAAGACTTGTGTGTACTACCCTCATTCTGCCCAGGAGTTCTTAAGTCAGAGACTAGTGTCTCTATTGCTCTGTTACATCATAGCTATAGCTAGGCATTACAGGTGAGAAGGAAGAGAAAGCAGGAAGTATAAGAAGGTGAAGGCGTGCGTGTCATCTCAGAGTTTGGGAGGCAGAGGCAGGAGGATGGATCCCGGTTGAGTTCCAGGCTAGCCAGGGTTACATAGTGAGATGTTGTCTCAAAAGACAAAAACAAAATAAAATATAAGATTGGTAATCTGATGAGAGACAATCAGAAGGACACACACTAAGACACCTGCCTCTGTACAGTAATGACCTAGTTTGGGAAAGTGCATAGAAATGATAACTTTAAGAAGTTAGCTCTGTGTGTGTGTGTGTGTGTGTGTGTGTGTGTGTGTGTGTGTGTGTGTCTGTCTGTCTGTCTGTCTGTCTGTGGTGTATGAATGTGTGTGCAGCCAGAGAGGAATGTTGGGTGTCCTGATCTATCACTCATCTTCATCCCCTGAGAACTGGCTCTCTTTTATTTTATGTGTACGAGTGTTTGCCTGCATATCTGTCTGTGCACCACATGTCTGGTGCCCACAGAGGCCAGAAGAGAGCATCACATCCCATAGATCTGGAGTGACAGATAGTTTGTAGCCTACTACGTGGGTGCTGGGAATTAAATCTGGGTTCTTGGTAGCTAGTTCTCTTAACCTCTGAGCCTTTGCTCCATCTCTGAGAACAGGGTTTCACCATTTTGGCCAGGCTGGCTCTTGAGATCTGACTGTCTGTCCAAATGACAGGCACATGTGCCCATCCCCAGATTTGACCTGAGTCCTGGGGATCTGAACTTTGGTCTTCATGCTTGTCCAGCAACCACTTTCTATACTGACCCATCTCCCCAGCCCTAACATTAGCTTTCTATCACAAGAAGCAGTCATGTCTGTCACAATACCAATAAATCATATTTTCTACGAGCTTTCCCTTGAGAGAATAAATGGAGGTCATTTTTTTAAGTCCTGGGAAATGTACAGTTCTATTTTCTGTTAAACATGGAAAAGCATCTTACTTGCCCCGTCATAATGATTTCCTTCTCCAAATGTAGGCATACCATTTATAATACAGTACATTGATCAGACTCAGAGTCAAGTTCCTGTAGTAGCAACATTGTTATGGAGGATTATTGTGGTAGTTTAAACTTCAATGTAGTTTCGTAATAGTTTAAAATATAACAACGGAGCCATGAAAATGATCGTACCAAGCCTTTGAAAAGGAGTTATAAACTCAGAGCAAAATCTAATTTCCAAATAAACCCACAAGATGTTTTCAGT